CGCTGAGATGTAGCACCAGGGATTCTGGGATGTTTCTGATACCTCAGCCCTTGGTACACAGAATCTGTCTGTGTGACCTGAGCTGAAGCCACACAATGACCCTCAGCACCAAATCTTCCAGAAAATGCCTAGCTCCTGGGGTTGGACCTGCAGGTATGAAAAAACACATTCTTCCTATAGCATGAAGACATTTTTAAGTGTTGTTAAAACTTTTTTAAGATCATTTTACTGGAGGCTCTTAACAGCTCTTATAAATCCATACACCAGTTGTATCAGGCGTATCTGTACCAATGTTGCCATCATTATTTTCTAAACTTTTTCTATTTGAGCCCTTGGTATCAGCTCCTCTTTTTTCCACCCCTCCCCCTCCCCTCTTTGTTACCCCTTGATAAATTATAAGTTATTATTTTCATATCTTACACTGACCACTGTCTCCCTTCTCCCACAGTTTCTGTTGTTCATCTCCTTTGGGGTGGGGGTCATTAAAATTATTTTTAAGGAATGTACTTGAGCATAGTAAAGCATTAAAAATGTTAAAGGAACACTTACATTTTCTCTTAACAAACTATCCATCTCATTCTGAGTGCATGGGAGATGAAAGAGAGAGGAAGAGATCATTAAAATGTGACCCCAGAGCAGGGTACCGTCAGCACTGTAGTGTCAGTGAGACTAGCCAATAGGAGCAGGCTCCAGAAAGGTCCTGAACATTGGCCTATGGCCCTCCTCCTCCCACCTGAAGTCTCTGGAAACACCTCACTTTTGTTCCCAGGCCTCTACACCTCTAAAGGGCTGTAACACGTCAAGGAACAGGGCTGACTAGGGCGTTCACCTCCTGCAGAGTGCCTCCCAGACTGAGGAGCCTCTGCTGGCGTGGGGTGAGGCTGGGCAGAGCTTTGGACCGTTACCAACCTGGCCTGGGCATGCATTGTCTCCCTTCACAGAGGTCGCCTCCTCACCCAGAGAAGGGATACACATTCCCGACTTGCCGGCTTTCTGCGCCCACCATCATGACAAGGGCGGGCTGGCCCATCTTGCGCCAAACCTATAGCAAGTAGCCTTCGAAGGACTCTTGATCCCTGGTCCGCGTCCATCTCACAGTGGGCAGGAAACAGGGACTATTACATAATGTCTTACATTAGCACTGAATGCAAGACACCCAGGTTACATTTGTGTGACAGCCCCAGGCCACATGAAGATCAAGCCGTGTGAAGAGCTTTGAGATTGTGGAAGCACGGTGGAGAGCCCCTCCATAACACTGACCCTACACTAGTCAGGGCCCAAGAGGAGTCACATGGTATAACAAACCCTCTCAGGAGAGGGCTGGTCTTTTTGTCGAATGCGACAAATAGGGAGTTTTAGGGAAGGCTACACCTCAAACAAGGAAGAATACCTTCTTCGGTGAGTCCTACACCGCTTCCAAAAAATGGGCCAAGACCACAGACGCATACCTGAATCAGAAGCGAGCCCAGTAGCTCCAACTGCATGTGTGTCTTTGCCTAAGTCCAAAGGCAGTGTGAGTGCTTAGGTGGGGCTGGGAACTGGCCGTGCAAACTCTTGGTGCTGTCCGGGCGGCCTCGGAGACCAGAAGGTAGAGATTACACACAAAGGAAAAGGATCTGCCTGGTAGGAGCAAACGGGTTTGGGCCAGTGCCTGGGGTCTCCAGTCTTGAGTTTCCAGCTCTTCTCTGCAGTATGCTCAGTCATGACCGAGGTGGGTGACAGAACATCCAGGTCCAAATTTGTGAATGGACTTGATATCTAGATGGGATTAAGTTGAAGGACTTGAGATGAGCCCTAGATTATCCAGGGGGCCCTAAATGAAGAGAAGATGACACATGGAGAGAGGGAATGTGCCCAGAAGAAAAGGCCGGAGTCATGGAGCTACAAGTCACTATGGCAGCCACAAGAAGGTAAGAGAGACAAAGAATAGACCCTCACGCAGAGCCTGCAGGGGGGAACTCAGTTCTATAGGCACCTTGATTTGGGCGTCTGGCCTCTAGAACTGTGAAAGAATACATGTCTGTTGTTTTATGCTATCCAGTTTAGGTGACATTGGCAACTATAGGACCTTCTTGCAACAGATAAGGCCAAGACTGAACTAGTTCTCCAATTCCCCCTCCCATGCTTTCTGGCCTGAAATCTGAGAGAGCTTGCACCAGGTTGAGGTGCACAGCCATCTTACATCAGGAACACTTCTCCAAAGTTCTCAGGAGCACCTTTCTGAAGGTTCTGCCCCACTGTGGCTGAGTGGTGAAGGCATCCACCCTGTTGGCAAGGCCCTTGCCTCTCAGTTCCAAGTGAAGTCTGGAAGTACTTGGGAGTGTGCCAGGCAATGGAAACTACCTCTCCCAGAACATGGGTACTCAGCCAGCCAATGGCTACAGGGAACACTGAATTTATTAATGGATTTAATACAGAGAACATATACTGCGTACCACACATTCCCTTAGATCAGTGGTTCTCAACCTTCCTCATGCTGTGGTGACCCCCCCAACCATAAAATTATTTCATTGCTATTTCATCACTGTAATTTTGCTACTGTTATGAATCGGGCGACCCCTGTGAAAGGTTTGTTCAACCTCCAAAGGGGTCACAACCCACAGGTTGAAAACTGCTGCCTTAGATGATGCTTGTAAAGTTCTCTGCCTGGAGCCCAGCTTACAGTAGGAGTTCCACCAATGAACTTGTGGCAGTTTTAAAGCATGTCTTCTGAATGGGGCCCAGGCAAATCCTTCCTGACCAGAATCCACAGGGCGCTCCACTCAGGATTCAGCTGATGCAGGGTACACAAGTTGGGCAAAATTTCAGGACACCAGAACTCAGGAAAGGGCCCTTTTCCAGGTGCTCCAGAAGGTCACATGAGGATGCCTTTCTCCATGGCATTGAGAATGCTCAGCCAGATTCTGCTCTTTGTGAAATCTTTGATGCCCATATGTCCCCAGACCACATGAACACCACAGGAAATCTAATCGGAATTATGGTTTAAGTAGAAAACTGTCCCATGAGAGGGGAAAGATGGCCCCAGAAAGTTTATGCTCTTTCCTGAAATTCCATGGTCTAACTTTCATTAGAGAGCTCTGACACAACTTACAACGGCCGTGATGAGTCACGATAGGAGAGAGAAAACCTCAGTCAGGGCTGGCTCCAGGCGACCCAGACGGGTTACAAAGCCAGTGGCAGCTCTTGACACCCTCAGGTAGGTCTGAGATTGAAAATCACAACAAAGAAAATTTGATGCTCAGAGCCTCTTCGGAACCTGGGCCTGAGGCATCCTTGGGTGTCCAGCTCAGGTTTAGTCCACGGTATGGCACACACCCAGACCGTATGCACGGCCTTTCCAAAATGTGTCTCCATAAAGCTTCACACGCAGAAGTCACGTTCACGTCACTCGCCGTGACTTGGGCAGGACGACCAAATGCAAACAGACCTGCTGGATCTACTGCAGAAGCACAGGCCAAACAAAGTTTCCCAGTGCTTATTTCAAAAGCAGGGGGCGGGGGGGAGGACAGGCAGCAAGTCAAAATTTAGTAGTATTTAATAGATTCAAATCTTGAGACAAATGTGTTTTCATGCCTCACGATTTATTTTCTTCATCAGGTTAAGTACCATGGGTCTGTACCATTTCCTTTCTGTATTTATTGACTAATTAAAAATCCCCTTAGTTAGGGGCCCCCAGGCCCTGCCTAAAGCCTAGGAAACATTTGGAACTTGGTTTTGGCCATCTTTGAAGAGCAGATGCCCAATATTAACCTACCTCTTCTGTCTTTGGTAGATGGGGATACTAGACTTTACATGCATCATGAAAGTAACAATTTACAAAATTCTTATTTTGAGAGCTCTGAAGTTAATTTTAAAGTTTCCACACCACATATATGGACCTCGATTGTTAACAGAAATCTATGTAATCTTCTATGCCAGGGGCTGGGACATGACAGCCAAATCCAGCCCCTAACTTTTGTAGAATTCGTAGTTTATTATTTCACATTCAGTTGCATGCTGTCTGTGGCTGCTTTCGCAACATCAGAGTGGTTGTAACCATCTAACACCAAAAGCTGGGCACGTTTATTATCGGGCTCTCACTGGAGAACGGTATTGACCCTTGCTGTAGACTATTCATAACTTCCACATTTTCCATCAGGTCTAAACCAAAGCCATGGCCATCGAGTCAGAAAGAGAAATGGCTCCATAGGGTTTCCAAGGCTATACAGCTTTACAAGAGCAGACAGCGCATAGTTTTCCCCTGGAAGAAGAACTGGTGGGATCCAACAACTAACCTTTCTGTTATAAGCTATTATCCCTTGATCACACAGTAACAGCATGGAATAGCCTTCCCTATGGGATGCAGACCGAGGCAATACATGGGATCAAAGCACATGGCAGCATATGTATGTCCACCAATGAAGACTTGCCAACCACCCACATTTACAGGCACCTGTTATAGCCTCCTACACTAGCCAGCCAGGCCTCTGGAGGGAGATAGGTCCAGATGAGGGCATGGTGGGTGTGCTACTCACAGAGTGTGCTACTCACCTGTGGCCTGACAGAAGAGTTGGAATGTCCCCAGGGCATGCACGTGCTGTGCCTGGTCACTTAGGATGGGTGGCAGCAAGGTGACTGCTGAGGTCTCAGAGCCCAAGTTCAAGGATGGCCAGGGGCTCTGGGGAGAAGATGACTCAGGACCCAGACAGGACAGGGAGGAAGAGCCGGGAGGAAGGAAGGGTTTAGGAGATAAGGCTGCGAGACATAAGAGGACAGAAAAGAGCACACAGGAAACCTGGTCAGGACTGTATCACATTCTGAAGAAAGTAGAACTGAACCAGGACATTGACACATGACGGAAAGTGACACCACAGGGTGTCTCACACCTTCTACCCCTGGCCCTTGAGAGTCATGCTGTAAAATGAGTGGAAGCCACCTTACACACAACACGTATTTAGCTTCAACATTGTGCAGACAAGAGGCATCCAAATGGAGCTCATCTTAATAAAGTTTTTCCCAAATTGAGGATATATGATTCTTATTTATTCAGTTCCTTCTCATATCTATACACATCAAAGTAGAAAAATAAAAACAAAGTAAATCTTATAAAACACAAATGTTTACATCAAAATGGTCCAATCATATGCTGGAAGGTAAGACTGACTACACAGGCACACAAATCCAGAGTTCTTTTTCTTTGCCCTGGAAGAAAATCTCTTCGGATGGTATTTACAAAGACTTGGAGGCAGGGAGGGAGGACAGTGATAGGTAACAAGCAAATGGTGGCACTGTACCACCTACTTCAACTTCACTGCTCGAGGCAGGTCTGGCATGGTGAACAGTCTGTCCCAAACCTGCGGTAGAGGCCTTCTATCTACCATCGCGCAGGCCATTTCCAGCTGTGGAGGAGCACAAGCAGTACATTTGGACAGGGAGTGGATATGAGATCACATCAAAGGAGATGTTCAGAGAGCCAGAGAAGCCCTCCCTCTGCTTTGTGGCCAGGAGGTCGCAGCCAGTGACCGTGTACAGCCAATTGTAATGCACTGGCTCAACGTGCAGCCAGTGTCAACCTGACTGCGCTTCACTGGGGCCCACACGGCCATCCTCCCAGCTCAGAACCCTAAACTCATTGTTTGAATGTGTGGTAGTCCTCGGCTGCTTTCTCCTCTTCAGAAAGTTTTGAAAAAGAATAAAGAAAAAAAATACAGAAAACTTTTCCGAAAGCCAACATTTCCCACAAGAAATGAAGGGAAAAAAGTGTTCCGGAGACAGTTTGGGTTTATACTTCTAAAAGCACAAAGAACACATTTAGCAAAAGTAAGTTTATCCCTGAGAATCATTAACAATTTAAGCCATACTTGTTATAATACATAATGATGGAGAAGAAAAATTTGTATCTGCTTCAATAATTAAAAAAAAAATTAGCTAAAACACTTAATGAAAGCAAAATTTAAAAAAAAACTGCAAGAAAAAGTTCATGCTGTATGTTACCAAACGTATAAGCTAAAATGTTACTTCCACTCTGGAATTAAACTGTATGTTAATGGCTGCAATGAGAAGGAGGGATTGGCATTAAACTTGATTGCATTTGTGTCCTTCCCAATGAAAGCCAGACCTCAGATGGACTGGTGGCTCTACCAGCAGGTGCAGTTTCAAGCACTGTGGCCACCTGAGGCATGCAGGACCAGGGCGTCACGCTGCCTGCCGCTTCCCAAAGAGGCAAAGAGAAACCGAGTCATAATCTCAACCCAACAGACAGACAAGAAAACACGACTGGAGGCTTGCTTGAGGGATCTTCCCTAAGCAAGGTGGGGCCTGATGGGATGGCTGTTTGGTAGAGTACAAGAGGTACCCATGTGTGGATGGACCGCCTTACAACTTGATGGGTCCTTGCTCAGCCAGCCAGCCAGGATAACTTAACCAGGCATCTGGGGAAGAGAAATGGCTGGCTTCTCAGTCTCCATCGACGTCGGAGTCCGCGTACTTCAGCTCGCACTTGACATCAAATGGTTTGTCCTTGGCAGAAAGCTCATCCATCCTCTGGGAGTCCTCTGGGTCGGTGGGGAGCTTGCTGGTGATGGTGTCCTGCTCAGTCTCATAGCCTGTGTCCAGAGCCAGTTTGGGCTGTTCTCCATATTGCTGAGAGAAGCTCCCCTGCGCCACCAATGTTTCCTTCACATTCTGCTCACAATCAGAAAAATCCGATTTGGGCTTTTTCTTTCCCAGTAACATAATGGCGCGGAATTTTAAACACTGTCCAGGCAGGTAGCCTTTGTAGCAGTTGTAGGAAAAGAGACAGAGGAACAGTGCAAAGAAGAAGAGGAAAAGAAACATGAGGAGGCGGTTGTCACTGGACTTGAGATACATGGTCTTCTCAGAGTGGATTTGTGGGATTGTGTTGATGACAATCTTTGGTTGGCAGGGAGTGCTTGTTGGCACAAGGTGGGAGGGTGGGGTCATCACAGCTCTAAGTGTAGTGATCCGCACAGTGGGCATCTGAGGAGAAGTCCCTAGAGTGGCCTCTGCCAACACTTCGGGGCCAAATTTACTACCTTCTGTTTGAATTGCTGAAAGGGTGGGAGCTGCTGGCGTGTGCAAGATCAACTTCACTTCCAAAACATGTTTAGCAAGCAATTGTGAAACCGTCTTATTATTCACTGTTTCTTCTGACAGACACTGGTAAACCCCACTGTCTTCTTTGGACAAATTAAAGATCAGCAGGTTGTCCCTGCCCACCAAAATGTACTTAGTAGAGTTGTTAGCATTTAACACACTGTTCTGGAACTTCCATACCACTTGAGCCAAGTTGGACTTCTGGGAACATCTGAGCTCTGCTGTACCACCATGCTTGAAAAAATGCTGCCAGTAACTTTCCTTAACTCTATCTGTAATATATCAAAATAAACGTGCACAGCATCAACAACCTGCTTGTTAGTTTGTTTCTTCTCAACCATGTTCACATGCACAAAACAGCCACTAGAGCAGCATGGAATCATACAGAGCAACAAGAACATGCATGACTAAACAGCAAAGATGAACCCCGGCTGGCAGTCCCTGTGTAGAAAGAAATCACAGAAACTCCTTTTATCCCCTTGTTTCTGCTCATGACTCCTTTCAATGCACCATGCACCTTTATCCTAACCATTTCCTAATTTAGTGATGGCAATACTAAATGAGCCTGTAGCATAAGCTACTAGTGGGCACATCTGTCTGTAGCAGTGGTTGGGAGGACAGTATATAGACTATCAAAGAAAGTGCATTCCTAATACTATTGCATCTGGCATCCTACGACTACTTCATTGGGAATGCTACCTTGGTGTCTTGGCTCGCTACCTGCTACTGAGTCTAGGCAACCTTGTGCACAATGGCTCAAAATGCTGCACAGTCTTGCCCCATTGCCACATCAGGAATGGAGTGGACCTTTGTGATCCACAGGGATTTCATTGGCTGATTTTCCTAAGACATCAGCAAGCCTTTTTCCTAGTACTTGAAAGTCCCACTGCAGCCTGTTCAGCATCATAGCAACATGCAAATTTCTGTTTGCAAATGGGTGGTGGCTGTACATGAGGTACACTGGTTGAGAATTCACGAAAGGTGAGAAATACACTATTGAACTACCACTGCCCTTGTGGACTGATTAATTGTGGCCTCCTTTCTTCCTCCTCAAAGTAGATTTGGGTGATTTTTTTTTTTAAACGAGCCCCTAACTACCCCCCACCCCACGACATGCTAAAACAAAGTGATGAAAAGCACATTTGTAGAGAGAGTGCTTTTGGGCAAACAAGCCAATTCTGAATGGTTTCAAGCAATTTCTTTCTTTGCAATAAAAGGAATAGAGAAATACCATAGCTTCTGCTATAGGGTGCTTGCTTCAGTGCCAAGCAGAGGCAGAGAAAGATATGAAATGTACCACCCCCACCCCGCTAAAAAACAAACAAAATTACAACACTGAAATGGGGTTTAGACCCTCATTATTTCTCAAGGAGCTGTAGTAAGAGTTAATGACTCACCAGGGCAGGCAGAGACATCACCACTCATGTTCTGAATCAAATCCCTGTAAAACAACCAGGTAAAGATTACAAACACATTTGTGCTTTCTGCTGTAGGGGTGGCAGGGATGATGGAGTGCAGGGGACATCACATAGGTATATTAAGCTGACAGTTACCTGCCAGGTATGGGTTCCTGGTGCAGCGCAACACACGTGGCAACATGTGGACTCCAGGCACAGTAGGGGTCCCGTGCTAACACACAGTCCACACATGTGATGTGCTTCCCACAGAAGGCCACAGCACCCTGGATCATGCCTGAGTTAGAGCCAGCATAGACAAACTTTTTGCCCTGTGAATAGTAAACAGGTGAGAACAGGCATTTGGTAGGAAGGTAAGTCAAAAGCTGTTGGGATGTAGTTCATCCATGCATGAGTTTATTCTACATAAAATATGCATAAACAAGTCTTTGTGATTAGTAGAGGGCTTCAGACAAAGTCTCTCAATACCGTTCTATTAGTCTCATTAGGATGCCTTCAGAAACAAGGTCCCATAAAAACAATGGCTTCTGTGGAGGTCTGGTGGGTCAGTAAAGTTCAGGAGGTTATGGTAACTTTGCTGGGGGTTAGGGGTGGGGGAAGTGGGACTAGGTTCTAAAGGAGTAATTAAAAAAAAAAATCATTTTACTGGGGGCTCTTTTTTTTAAGTGAGAATAAATCATTTATTAAAACATCATGTGATAGAATACACTTTCTGAGCCAATAGTACAGTGGTAAACATTTCACCTCATTGACATTCCACATAAAACCCAGTTAAATTGTAACATAATCTGGCCAGAATTGGAAAACATGTATGCTTTAATCACTCAATGGCTTAATAGGTAAATGAGTGCAGATCTAGGTTTTCTTGCTGAGTTAAAGAATATGACAATCTAAAAGGTGATCAAAATCCCATGTGCCTGCAAGTTAAATTTTATTTACCCTGGATTCATTGGTATATGTCCAACTTAAAGTTAGTTACCTTCATTAACTATTACCTCCTCCTCTCCACACAAAAAAATTATATATCATTAATATATAATCTATATGTCAGGGACAAAAATTAAGGATATGAGTTGAATTTCAAACCATGCCTTTTACTGTTATTCTCTCTTTTTAACTGATCACTCATAAGCATGCAAACAACTGTCCTCTGCAACAGGTAAATTAAAAAGGGCATTCAATTTGTAGTTCTCTCCTAGAACACAGTGTGTGTGTGATGCATAACACAAAATAGGAAAAACCATCGTTAATAAATTATCTTAATTGCAAAGACTTTTCTGAAAATAAAACTTGACAAAGTGTGAAGCCATGCTTTTAATGAGTGCCATAGGATTACCAGTTCCTCCCAGCCGATTTCAGGCACCGCCTCGGGGAGTGCTGAGGCCTACGCCGGGCCCTGATGACAAGGTCCCCCAGGGCTCCAGACAAGGGCACTGAGATCGCCTTCCTCCACTCTCATTTGCTGATTCTTTGGACCACCCATCTTGCTGGCAGAAGGGGCAGCCGTTGTACTGTCTCATGCACAAGGGCATGCAGCCGTTGTGGAAGGAGTGATTACCTTCTCCCCAGACCACTTAAAACCAAGGGAAATCACTCATGATCTGGAACTCGGTCTCAAACTTGAGTTTTGTCCCTTCCTTGACCAACTGAACAACACATTCCTCTTGTTTGTTTTCAGCTTGACATCTAAGGCAGGCATCCATCACCCGGACCCTGCAGATGGCACACGTATAGCACTCTACGTCCCAGCTCCACATGGCAACCACATTCCACTTCATGTGGGAAAACATTTTATTGGCCCTTGACTTGGAGCCCGTGCCCTGGGAGTGAGAAAAGAGGATGCCTGGCTCCTTGCCGTCGTCCATGTCGGCCATCGCAGTGGCTCTGAGCCTGGAGCAGAGACATTGGCCTGGAGAGGAGGGCAGCTATGGCGGCACCGTGGGGCCACCGGACAGAACCGCTCTTACAGCTCCTATCACATTCCACACATCAATTGTATCAAGCATATTTGTACACATGTTGCCATCATCATTTTCTAAACATTGACTTTCTATTTGAGCCCTTGGTATCAGCTCCTCTCTTTTCTCTCCCTCCTCCCACCAAGTAATCTTGATAGATTTTCTTGAAGAACAGGATGATCACTGGGGCTTATTATGAAAAGGTTTTAAGAAAATGGAAAACTACATTGCTAAGAAAAAGGCCAGAAAGTTGCATTGAAGAATTTTTTTCCCATCACAACAATGCACCCAGTCATTCTTTAAGAGTATAAAGGGCTGCACATAAGAATTTCACTGGGATACCGAAAACCCATCCACTACAGCCTTGGTCTTGCCCCTCACACTTCTTGCCCCCCAAATTAAAAGAAAAAGAAGAGGAACACAATTTGAGTCTTGTGAGGATGCCACAATTGCTGTTTTGACTGGTACAAATCAAAGAGTGCAGAATCCTTGAGGGAAGGTTAGCAAGATGGAAGCACTTGCATCTACACGTGTTTGGAGCTGGAAGGGAGAGGGGTTGGGAAACAATGACTTCACATTCTGGTAAAGGTGGCTGTTCCTCTTATAGCAATACTTTTTGACTGCATATTGAGTAGGATCCCAGAAAATGTCGACAAAGCACTTTCAAGCTATCCAGGAAGGTAAGTCCACATAATTTAGAATTGTTGAGTCACTGGGTGGAGCAAGCAGTTACGTGTTTGCCTGCTAGCTGAAAGGCTGGAGGCCTAAGTTACTTTGGGAAAAAGGCCTGATGGTCGATCTACTTGTGAGAAAAAAAAAAAGTCAGTCCTTGGCAACCCTGTAAGCCAAATTCTAACTGGACACGTGTGCGATTACCAGAGTCAGACGTGTCCATGGCAAGTGGTTCCTTATTCCCAGATTCCTTTGTCTGTTATGGTACACATTTTACGCCAGACTCTACTACCAGATAAAACCATCATACACGTCTGCCAGCACACCCAGCACAGGCAAAGTATCTGGCCTCGGTTGCCACTCAACTCAGGCTTACTGATTTTTTTTCTTTCACTAAATTCTGACGCTGTGGTTTCACCATATGCAATAAAATGCAGAAATCTGAAAGAACAGCAAAATCTGTCCAGCTTTAAAATAAGCTAGTCCCTGGCTTTTAGCCCATCCTTTGCCTGTTATCTGTGTCAAAAGATTCCCAAACTTATGAACAAATTGGTGTTTTATAGTCAAGTGAAACATTATTTTATCCTTAAAGGAGTCTGTTATTAATGTCAGTCAGGCTTAAGATAAAAGTCCTTGGTGCTAACGAAGGTTTACAAAACATCAACGTCCCATAAGATTGCAGACCTGTCTGTGGGAGAAGCACCAATGCATTGTGGAGCTCAGGTATGTGCACAGGTGAGTCAATTTGGACTCACAGTGACCGTAGGACAGGGTAGACCTGCTCCCGTGGGTTTCCGAGACTCCAACTCTTTACAGGAGTAGATTGCGTCATCTGTTTCCTTCAGAGTGGCTGGTGGCTTTGAACTGCTGACCTTGCAGTTTGCAGACCAACTTGTAACCCACTATGCCATTAGGCTCCTATGTGGCACACAGGAAAAAGGAATTCTCTCTTTGTCAATGAACATTATGATTTCAAACAGTGGAAAGAGCTGGGCCTCATCGTGGCATAGACACGTTCTTGTAAAAATGGGAAGAGGCCAATTTATAAGAGGATGATGCTTTTTTTGAGGGGGTGAGGTGGGGGTGGGGGGAATCATGTGGCTTGTGTAGAAAGGTTGATCCAGAGAAAGGCTGACTTGGGTTATTTAAAAAGTCTAACTGGCTCCTGTGGGGAAAACTCCACAAGGGTTTCAGACAGTTAATGTAGATCATAGTCCTGGGGCACCCAAGGGGAAGTCCTGCCTGAGAATACCCTCCAAGAAGGAGGAAGTGGCTGTATATCTGAGTGTAGAGAAGATCCAGTTTAGCACAGGCCAGCCTTCTGCCTTGTGGGTCACCTGACTCCTAGAGCCCATTCCTCCTACCAAGCCACTGAAGACCAAATGGAACAGAGAAAAGGAAAGCACCTTGGAACCGCGGAGCCCCACTAAACCCAGTGCAGAAGGAACATGAGCAAGGGGCAATGCACAAGAATACTCAGTGAGAACTGTTGCCAGTTAGGTCTACCACAGGGGGCTAGAATTAGTGCGAGAAGCATACTGAGAAACAAAATAGGTGTGCACACACAAGACAGCTCCCTCACTTAGCTAATAGTGACTTGGGGGACTTCTGAAATCGCTATAGAGCACAGTTCTAGTCAGACACACATGGGATGGACATGAGTACAATCCACTTGATGATGGCAGGTTTTGTAGTCCTTGGATGGTGCAAATGTTTCTGCACTGCTGGTAACAGGAAGGTTTGTGTTTCAAGACAATGCCAAGACTGCTTATTAAAAAGTCCTGGTGATCTATTTCCAAAAAAATTCAACCACTTGAAAATCCTATGAAGCCCAATTCTACTTTGATATACATGTGAGCTGAAGTTTACTCATCAACTCCTTTTATAAGTGGTGGTTTTAACAGTGTTCATGAATACTTTGGCACAACTCCCTCCAAGAGGTAGCATGTAGCCACCATCCCCACGTTCAGTATATGGGCTGCATGACATGACTCAAATCTAATAACTATAGGATAGGAAAAGAAACTGACTTTAAGCCAAGTGATCAGATCCCTTTCTCTCTGTGTCTGTGCACGGCTGGTGGGGGAAGTGGGGAGGATGACAGCCTGATTGGCCCTGGGCCCACCCACTAGCTACAGCAAACAGTGTATGGAACTAATTGCTCTCTGAAGCTCTCTAAAGGGCTAAAGCTGTGGCATTAGCTGAAGAGAGCTGCTAAGGAGCATTTCAGGTTTAACCTGAAAGCCTTGCACCAGAAACCACAGGGCACAATAGGACAATGGAACGTAAGGCTTTCATAAGTAGAAGGCTGAGGATCGGGGTAAGCCCACTAACAGGGAGATGCACCATGTGCCACTATTCAAATTCTCTTCTGGCCTGGTGGTGCCAACGCCCAGAATCCAGTCAGCCCAGCAGGCTGCAGAGGACAATTCATCCAAGGGGCTTCCTGTGCCGTGACTTGAAGCAGGAACGCCCCTGCCCTGGGTTGGCTTTCTCACACAGAGTCCTTCAGAGGTGCTGTGCCACAGAGGGACAGAGCAGCTCCAGTTTTGTAAGCACTTCCTGCGTGTTGTATCCTATGCCCCACACTATACACAAGGACCATATCATTTAATTCTAAGAACAACCCAGTGAAGAGAGACACCCCATTGCAGAGGTGGGGAACCCGAGGCACAGAGTGCATAACCAACCAGCCTGCCAAGGCTCGCATAGTCATACACAATGGAAGTGGGATTCAGACCAGGCAATCTGGTAACTGTATTCTTCCTCACTGCCCATCTACAGCACCCATTTCCCAGTCACAGCAGACATGGAGGGAAATAGCATGTGACAAGGGTTGGCAAACTATGGCCAATTCAGCTCCCACTCTGTCTTAAAATGGCAAGTGATTTTGGGGAGGGAAGTCAAAAGAAACATATTTTACGATGTGAAAAATTATATGAACTGCAAAGTTGCATGTCTACCAATAAGTTATCACTGGTATGCAGGCACATTAAGTCATTCATGGACCGCTTGTGGTATTCTTGTGTTATACCAGTTAAGTTGAGTTGTGGCCAAGACTGCATAGCCCACAAAGCCAAACATAATTACCATCTGGCACTGTATAGAAAAAGATTTTCAACTTTGATGTGTGAGAAAATACTTTGTAAGCTAAAATAATTTACAGATGCTATATGCTACCATTAAAGGGACTTGTTGGTGTAGTAAGTTATAAGGAGGTTTGCTAACCACAAGGTCCACAGTTCTAACCCACTAACTATTCCATGAGTGAAACATAAGGCTTTCTGCTCCCATAAGAATTTAGAGTCTGCATTTATATAGGTTTAAATATAGGCATGTACATATGTACATAATTATATTTATATATAATGATATGGAAATAGAATATACAATGATATGGAAATAGATTGATGTACATATATTTATATGTTAAGCATTAAGGTAGTGCACGGACACTGGGCCTCTACTCAAGGATTCCCTCAATGCAAGAACACTTTGTTCTAATAACCTGTCACTCTGTAATGCTCATCTTCCCTGACATGATTGCTAAAGACAAAATAGGTGCATAAGCTAGTGGTGCCTGGCTGTCAAAAGTAGAGCATCTGGGGTCTTAAAGGCTTGAAGATAAATAAGCGGCCATCTAGCTGAGAAGCAACAAAGCCCACATGGAAGAAGCACACCAGCCTGTGTGATCATGATCTGTCAATGGGATCAGGTCTCAGGCATCAAAGACCCAGAGCAAAAAATCACAATGATGTGAATGAGGGGGAGGGCGGAGTGGAGACTCAAAGCCCATCTGTAGACAATTGGACTTCTCCTCACAGAAGGGTCACAAGGAAGAGACAAGCCAATCAGGGTGCAGTATAGCACTGATGAAATATACAACTTTCCTCTAGTTCTTTAATGCTTCCTTCCCACCACTATCATGACCCCAATTCTACCTCACAAATTTGGCTAGACCAGAGCATGTACATGGGTACAGATAAAAGCTCAAAACACAGGGAATCCAGGACAGATAAACCCCTCAGGGCTGAAAATGAGAGTAGCAATACCAGAAGGATAGGGGGAAGGTGGGGGGAGAAAGGGGGAACCGATCACAATGATCAATATATAACATGTTGTCCCCAGGGGGACAAACATCAGAAAAGTGAGTGAAGGGAGACAGTGTTCAGTGTAAGACATGAAAAAAATAATAATTCATAAATTACCAAGGGTTCATGAGGGAAGGAGACAAAAAAAAAGATGATACCAAGGGCTCAAGTAGAAAGAAAATGTTTTGAAAATTATGATGGGAATATATGTACAAATGTGCTTGACACAATGAGTGTATGTATGGATTGTGATAAGCGCTGTAAGCGACCCCAATAGAATGATTCAAATAAAAGATTTATAGTCTGGAAAACCCAAAGGGGGTCTTCTACTCTATCCTATAGGGTCAATATGTGTTGGAGTTGACTCAATGTCAGTGAGTTTCCATGTATTATCACTATTTTTACATATTGCCTGATATTAATGCTATCAGGAAGCTGATATTCATAGCAGAATTAATAGCACAACTCCCAGACACAATCTACAATCGCATCACGTTTATGTATAAGACAATGTCTTTATAGGAAAGCACACAGATGATAATAACAGCATTCTATCTGCTTAATCCAAACAAAAAGGTGCTGGAAACTTTCAATAGACACCTGCATTTCCCTAGATTTGTTCTCTCACTGTCCCAAATTTCAAACCACATGGCTGACAGAACCATTTTTGAAGAGCCTGAATGTCAGCTCATTTTGCACATCAAGAAACTAACACCAGAATCAATGCCCCAGGTCCCACTGCCAAGGGTAGAGTTGGGCCTGGGTGCCTGCTCCAGACTCAAGGACTCTCAGATCACCAAGAGAGTGCACCTCAAGGCCCAACATCACATTCCAACTTTACCTTTTTTGAAGATAGCAGTAGGGCCCGGACTGGCGCAAAGTCCTGGAACAGTTGTGTCTCCTCGATGATGTGCATGCTGTTTTCCAGGCTGATGGCTTTGTGCAGGGCACCTTTGTCTGTAATGTTAAGGGCCCACAAGTTAGTGATGGAGCCCAAGAGGGGAATCAAGGGGAGTCCAGCTATACTAACAAAAGCAACCAATGCTCTCTCCTGTATTCTCAACTAATCTCCCAAAGACATATTCTTTATGTCTATTTCCCCATTGTTTGTTACTGGTTCGTATTAGCCATTTCCCATGTGTGGTAGTTACATAATCTATTGTCAACTTGAGACTTAAGAGTGTAGTGGTGGAGTTTAACCTGCCAATCAGGTCACAGCTTGATGACCTCATTTGGAGCCGCTAAGGAGATAATAGCTTGCTGGAGGCAGGACACACACCCTCTCCCTAAGACGTATTCATGATGACAAGACACATGGAGCTACACTAGAGCCCTGGAGGTTGAGAAGCCACGTGGAGATCCACGCCAGTGCTAAGATGCTTACACCACCACATCATCCACAAGACTTTTCACCCACTGGCCTGTGATCTTCCTGAATTTGGCATCATTGCATGCGTTGTGTGAGTCTGAAGAGGAATTTATACATTGGTATCAGACATGGGCTAATATTGGACTTATGAACTTGATCTGAAGTGGGCTAGGATATTTTCTCAATATACAATTGCTCTTGTATATAAAGCTTTCTTATACATGTATGCGTCTCCCTGGATTTGTTTCTCCTATCAACCCAGACTAACACGTCATGCCACTAGTTGAAGACCTCTACCTGACTCAGTAGTGTATTCACCACTCGTAGCTGCACCATGATGCTGTGGAAAAAGCAGTCAATCATAGTACACAAAAAAGCATGAAAAACCCCAAACACCCAAACGCAATGGAATAATCTGAAAAAGTGGCCCTCGAATGAGCAGAAATAGAAATCAGTTAAATGGCGTTGAGGTGCCTTTCAACAAATAGGAAGAATGTTTGTGAGAACAATGGGAAAAACTTGAAAAACTAGGAATTCTACCCCAAATGGAATTCCAGAAGACAAAAGAATTAGACAACATCATAAAAGACCTGGGAAACAGACGGAAACAAACAAACAAACAAACAAACAAAGAAGGAAGCAAAAGACAACTCCTCTGACTAACTGAGGAGAGAAACCATTCACAAATAAAGCAGAGGAATCCAAAGAAAGCCTGAGAATGATGTGGGACACTAACGATCGGAAAAACTTACATCCTACTGGGATCCTGGAGCAAGAAGGAACAAAGCAATCCACAGAGAAAATATTTTAAGAAATCATGGAAGAAAATGTACCCAGCACCATGTAGGAGAAAATAACTAGTGAAGAAGCTGAGAGAGCTCCAAAGAGGAAAAATATCAACAGAAAAATACTGAAACAAACTCTCTAATTTCAAGGAAAAGGAGAGAATCTTAAAAGCAGTTATGCAAAAAAGAACACTAAAAAAGTAAAGTCGGTAAGAATATGTTCAGACTTCTCAGCAGAAATCATACTCGAAGGAGACAAGGGAATGACTTCTATAAAATTCTGTGAAAAACAAAACAAAAAACCCCTGCCAACTAAGAGTCACAAAGCAATATTATCACAAAAACATGAAGGAGAAATAAAAGTATTTTCAGACAAGGAAAAGTTAAAAGGAATGTTTAAAAATAAGTTAAGTATTATAGAGGATACTAATGGGAACACTATGGACAGAGACTCAACAATTCTACGACCATCACACAGGGTACCACCACCTGGAAAACAATATTAAAAACCACATTCAAAACAACACACAAATAGAGCAGGAACAACGATAACAATAAAATCACACACGGAGAACAAAATAAAACAAAAAATATACACAACAAAATAACATTGATTATCAATAAATGAAATACACCACTCAAGAGACGGACTGCAGCAGACTGGATCAGAAAACAAGACCCATCTATGTGCTGCTACAAGAGGCACATCTTAAAATCAAGGGCAAAAATAGACTAAAAATCAAAGGCTGGAGAAAAATTTACTAAGCCAATGAAAGTCACAAAATGAAGAATAGCAATACTAATCTCTGATAAAAGAGACTTACAGGCAAATAACACCATGAAAGACAAGAAAGAACACTACATAATCATTAAAGGAACAATAGAAAGAGACATAATAACCATATTACATATATTCCAATGAAAGATTCTTAAAATACATCAGTCAAACCCTCATAGCACTGGAGGGAAAAACAAACAGCTCTTCAGTAATAGTAGGAGACTTCAACACATCAGTCCCAAGGAAAGGATCATCAGGAAAGAAAGCCAACAGAGAAACAGAAGACCAGATCTCCTCGGCACATACAGAGCACTCTACGCAGCGGCATTATTCTTCAACAATATTCTTCTTCAGTGCACAGGCTACGTACTCTGGAATGGCTACAAAGCAAGTCTTAATATAAATGAAAAACACTGATATCTGTGATAGGTAGGCTTATTGTGCCAACCTGGCCAATAGGAACATGTGGGATTAATCAGGTTGCAGTTTGATTGGAGGGCAAAGAGAAAAATGACCCGCCTGGGGCTGGCCCTCGCTCTCTTGCTTTCTGGTGATTGGACCAATGTGTGGCTGCTTTACCTAGTTCTCTGCCTCAACTTGTGAGCTACACTACCCATGGATCATGTCGCTAGAGCTTGAGGTTCCTTTGAGACCTGCTTTGTCACGCTGTCAGTGTATACATCGCTTGAGCTTGAGGCTGGTAGATCCAGTTATCTTGCATTGCTTCAGTTTGATATTTCATCTGGGCTTGCTTTGCTAAGCTCCTGGGCTGTTGACTATTGGTGACCTGCCCTGCTGTTTGCTGCCTGTGGGCAGCATTGCCCGAGCAAAGACTCAGCTGTCTACTTCTTTGACCTTGGACCCCGCAGTGCTGGTGATCTGAAGGACTTCCAGTGTATTAACTGTTCCATGGAAGTGAGTTGAACTGAGCCCTCTGTACTGCTATGTGGACTAATTA